GCTAACAATTTGCCTGAAGTTGAAATAAACATCGGGTTATGACCTGCCAGTAAAAGAAAATGCTAAATGCAATTATTTTGATGAGCGAATTAAAAAACCGATAAAATTTGCTGTAAATAATCGAGACATTGAAAATAAATTTGTTTCCAACTTAGTAATGAACTTTATATACTGATTGTTCACAACCAGTTGATAGCCTCAACAATTATCAATAACTTTCTTGGCGTTACAATCTTCAAGTCAATAAATTGTTGATTTATGTGTTTACTTTTAATAATACAAATAGATAGCAAGTTTTCCGGAAGGTTCCTTCTCAAAACCCGACAAGAGAAAAGTGGAGAAAAATAATTCCTTTAATAATTATTTGGTTCTTTCAACTTATTTGCCCTAAAAAATGGATTTTACAATCCACACATTTACTACGGCAACAAATGATTTAATTGCTATTTCACACGTGAACTTACATAAAGAAAACCAGTTTTCATTCGATTTTACACTTTCCTTAACGGGATTTTTTCCTGAAAAACAAAATATTCCTTATTTACTCACATGATTAATTAAAATAACTGCGATAAATAAGGCAGGATAAACAACAGCACTGATAAACATTTGTGATATGTCAAAGATCTTGGAATAACACGCGTATTATCATTTGATTAGCCATTTTCCATATTTTTTTTTCACTTAATTGCCTTTCAGAGCACTCATATCGATGACAAAAATCGATCAATTGCCAAGGTGATTCCAAACTAGACTTAGAAACAATTCTGTTGAGGATGTAAAAAACTTCTGGTACTGAAAACATTTTAAATTTCAGAAATCACAAAATTATCCGACTACCAATGCTTTTACAATGCTTTAAAAACCCAATTATCTCTTGTTTTAAAAATACTTGAAAATTCAGCCGAAAATCCTAACTTTAAAAATTGCAAATTACTGTTGTGTTAAGTAGGTACTGAACCGAAACTCTTTTTCCGACTGGAAATCCTAACTTTGCTAGATTAAAACCATTATAAGCGGGGTGTTGTATTGTTAGCTAGCCTGTAAAATGCGGTTTTACATGGCAAATAAGCACAACGTTCAGCACCTTTTCATGTATGGTCCGTACATGCACCGGTTTTACCCTATTAAGATCAGATGGGAAATGCCTATTATTTCAATTATTTTAAGTGGATAATGGCATTTGACTGCATACAAACGTTTATTAACAACGTATCATTCTGAGGCAAACGAACAAAGAAACAAATTGCCACTTTTTTTGTAAATTAAATTGTTTTGATTCACCCGTTTACTGCAAGTCTGGAAAGTCTAATGTTTAATTAGTTTTTGAACTGCTTAAAATAATTAAAGTACAACACCAATATTTGCATATAAATTYATRAAMYCYAAAATTAATTTCTAARCATTAAAACTACCTAATTGCATACTTTGCGCTTCATATTTTACTGATGCCTCCTATTTGCGCTCCTTTCCTTAGATTCGTTGGGGATATTTGTGCAAAGTAATTGTMCCTAAACTTCCAAGCAAGATAACCAACTTSKATATTAAAGATTTTATCTCTATGTGGTAATTTTGCAGATTTCTTCACTGTAGATCTGTGACCTTTCCAGCGAGGTTCAGAGAAGAATAAGATATAACTCTAGAAATACGTCGAAAACTGAGGCAGCAATGGGTGACCTCTTGCGATAAGACTTGGCCAATTTGCAAAAATATAGGATTGATATCAAATGGCAATTGCCATTATTAATTAATATACTTGTTGTTTATCTAAGTGTTACATAAAAAATATTTTATTTTTCAGAAGTTTGCCGAGGCGGATGCAAAGGAGGTAAGTTGGCAAAGGCAGTCACAATTTTCAGAAAGTTGTCAAACTTTGCCATTTTCCAGCCGCGCAAACCTTCAAGTATGCAGTAGGAACAACCTACCAGTACAAATACGATGGAAAAATCGAAATCTCACTTTCTTCTGCTGAAGGCCAGACCACCAGCACCGAAGTTAAAGCCGATGTTTCACTAACTCAGTTGCCCGAGTGCAACCAGTTGCTCAAGTTACAAAACGTCCAGATTTTGGGAGCGAATGGAAAGGTACAACCACCCGG